TTTATGATGAACCTCTCCCTCATGATTGCAGTGTTCCCTATAACTTGTGGCAAACTGCAATGAGGACTTCTAATAGCTTTCCTCCCTCCATAAAGATTAGGTTTCTGGTGTTCACATCAACTAGCCTTTGAGTGGACAGATTTAGAGAAGTGGGGGACTGCAGCTCTTCCAAGGAAACTATTGGTGCCTTTGCTTCTTCTTTGATAAACACCCCCTTTGCCAAGCCACCAGGTTAGGGAAATAGCCATGTCTTGTTAGGATTGTAGTTTTGCTAATCTGTCTATTTTACTAGCTAATTGCTTGACTGATCAATAAGATGTGGAAAGCCTTGGATACTTATACTACCTTACCTTTTTTTTTAAGTTTCTAAACTATGTAATGTTGGTCGACTGTACATAAAATCACAATAAACCACACAACTTTAAAATGGAGTTCATGCTTCAGTCAAAATCTGAAAAATTTTAAAAGGTAATTATACTTTTGTAAGGCACCTAACCTTCTGACCCCTCTAAAATGTTTCCAAATATTTGTAAATAAATAAGATAAATTTAATTTAAGCACCAAAGATGTAACCATTCATACAATGCAGAATCAAGTATTTTATTCATAAATGGAACACAATAAAGTATTCACAGAATCAGAAACAAAGTTCCAGCAAATAAAAGCTGTTAAAGGATCCTAAAAATGCATTTCTGTGTATTGTCTCATTTCTGTTAGTGAGATACAGTGTTAACCTATAAAAAGTTTTAATTTCTTCATTTGCTACAGTAAATGTGAGTATCCCGGGGTAAAGAAAATGCCAGGCCGTGCTGCTGAATTCCATATGCAAACAAATGACTTAAGAATCATGTGATAAATTCTTTCATTCCTATTCCTATTGAACTAAACAGCCACAGACAGACTTTTCATACAAAAAGTAGATTCCCATAAATAAATATGTGCAATATTCAATACACTTTAAAACAAGTTTCTACCACATAATCGATAGTTAATTACTGATTAACAAAGTTTTTAAACTTAGAACAGCAGCACTATCAGTAGTTTTTCCACTTTTCTGTAATGTCTTGCCCACTCCCTTCACATCATAGTTCTAGCAATAATAATAATATATATTTTTAATAATCAAAGGTTTGCATGTAATAAAAAAAAAAATATATCAGAGTTCAAATATCTCATCCTCCCTTTCTTTTAGCTTCTTGGTGAGTTTGGTGGTGGTGAGAGGCACCGCCCCAAGCGGTGCTCCCTGCTGTAATCTTGGTGATGTAATCAGGCTTTGTGACCTTGTTAACGGGTGCCAATCTGAAGCCTGGCTGGAGCAGGCTGCTTCCAGGGCTGCAACGCTGTAAGAAAGAAAGCATGACATAAAAAGCTAAGGTGATTCAAAATGCTTTAGTTTGGGAAAGACTTGAAAGTATTCTAAAAGTCTGCTTATGGTTCAAAGTTGCCCGGTAAGGCACAGAGCTCAGGGTACGGTAATTTAGTATTTTCTGAAGATATTGTCAAGAAATTCCTTTCCTTATGAAGCTAAATCTGTCTTTTAAAGAATCATTTTTTGTGGTGGTATAGAGGTCATCCCTGTTTATTATTTCTGTATGCAACTGGATAAAGCAGACAATTCATATAGCAAAAGACATCCTCAGCTATTGGACTATTTAATAAAAAATGTGTGGTACAAGCCAGCTAAGCGTGCCAAACCAACACCTACAGTTCCAACAGCCAACATAGATGAATCTTAGTTAACATTTAACAAGAAGGGAGGAGTCACTCTCATCATGATGGAAATATTTCACCAAGTTTCAGGGTGTTGCCAATTTTTCCTTTGTTTAGACATGACAGATAAGAGTAGTCGGAGAGCAAAATCCCTAAACAGGAAAATCATCTAACTGTAGCCCTAAAGTTCAATTTCCCTCTTTAATCTGTCCCCTGTTTTCATGTAGGGTCACACAGAAGATTAGCACAGGAGCACAAACATGCATTCATAAATAAATCTTCAGAAATATCTAATTTTGCTAACATATGGTCACTGTGAACATGCAGCTTCCCAGGTTAATATGGAGGACAATAATTTTCAGTGTTGTGATATACAAATGGAAATGGTTTTTCAAAATATTATTACTATAAAAAATGTATTAGTATGCATGCTTGAAGAAGCAATAGAGAAATAGTACCGTTTCTCTGCATCTTGGCATCCTCTGGCTGCTGCCTCCTTAGACTTGCTGATCAAGTCATCCAGTCTTTTGAAAAAATCCCCAGGAGTAAGGTCAGATGCACGTCCTCTTAAATCCTCCTGGCCTGGAGCACCATTCGTCTTTCCCTCTTTATGCTCTTCCTCGGACAAATCCAACCCGTTGCTGCAGTCCTTCAGGTCTGACAGTACTGGGATTGACAAGGATTTCTTCTGGAATATTGAGTCATTGGTGTACAGTCTGTTTGCTCTTTTGATTTGTTCCACCTGGAAAATAGTTTATTATTAATTATCAAGGTTGAAAATATGAAAAACAGCTAATCAAAGTTTATATGTCTATTTTGATTTTTTTATTTTATATACTCTAATAATCCCAGAGGGAGATTACTCCTCTGCATTTAACCCATCCCCTTGGGGAGCAGTGGGCTGCCATTGTGCGGCGCCTGCCACTAGGCCGCCACTCCCCCAATCTCAATAGAATATCAATGAAAAGTTCATTTATCTCAGTAATTTCAACTGAAATATTTGTATGTGTTGTATATTATATATTTTTCTATTGTAATTGTATCATTTGTATGCATTGTTACGTTCCTTTAGATTACTGCATATATAATATGTCAGGAATTTGAGCTCGCTGGCTAAGAAGGAACTGTAATTACATTGTTATTAAACCAAATATTGGTGCCAAGTCTGTTGGACAACAAAATCAACATCTCTATAAAGCCTCTTAAAAGAGGGAAGAAAAAAGTGCCAAAAAAATTAGCTGTTCAGTGGTTGCCCCGACATTTGAGTTGATCAAACACAGGAGAGCAGTGGGGAGTGGCTTCCTAGTGCTGAAGGCATAGAGCTTGGAATCCTGAGGTTCTGAGTTCGAGTTCCGCTCCCACAGACTGCCACGCTGGGTCCCTGAGCAAGACCCTTAACCCCACACTGCTCCCCGGGCACCCCATGATGGCAGCCCACTGCTCCCCAAGGGGATGGGTTAAATGCAGAGGTAAATTTTTCAAAGATCAATTAGACCATGAGATGCAGTTTCCTAAATGAAAAGAAAGTTGATCTTTTATCTGAAAGCAAGGCTCTGATCACTTAGTAACATTTTAGGATGTGTTTCCCTCCTTAGCCCAAATATGACACATTTTCGTGGCACAAGGAGTACAACAGTTTTATCCTAACATGTCTTGGATATTTCCGTGTGTGCAGCTCAGTTTAAGTCCATATCAAGGAAATCTCTTCTTTATGGGCTTTCCTTCACTGTCTAATCAAGTGTACATTTAAAACAGGTATAAAAATTTTTCCTTGGAGTTAACTTTGCAGGACATCTTCCAGCTTCCTCTGAAAATCCTTTTTGAGAATGCTCTCAATCTCAAGTCAGCACTCTTCCTTTAGCTCTGAACTAATATGAATTTATTTCAGAATACTCTTTACACAAAATGTTGTTTTACTCTTTAGTTATCAGCCACAATCAAAGGTAACAGAAATATAATTTAATGATATCAGTCTGTTTAATGAACAATATCAATAGTTTTACATGTAAATAGAAATTTTCTGTTTCCTTGAAACCCAGTCGGCCTTGGCAGATGGCCGCTCACACTGAGTCTGGTTCTGCTGGTTTCTTCCTGTTAAATGGGAGTTTTTCCTCTCTACTGTCGCTACAAGCATGCTTATGGAGGGATTGCTTTTGAGTCAATGCAATCAAATGGTTTTCCTAAGATTGAAAACTTTGAATTAATCGGACTGTAGTATCTAATGAACTGTAAAGTGCATTGAGATGACATGTGTTGTGAATTGGCACAATATAAATAAACGGAACTGAATGCACCTGCACAATGGTAATGTAGAGTTTATATAAAACATAAAGGCAGAACGCCTTCTAAACATTCCATTCTTACATTACACAATACTTACAGTGACTCCATATTTTAAAGCAAGGCCCTGAAGTGTTTCTCCTGGTTTTACTGTGTGCTCAATGAGTCTGTGGCGAAGCGGAGAGAGAGAAGATCGCGTTAAACTGCCGTAAGATCTTGTTCTGCTTCCGCGGAACAGCTCGCCTCCTCCGGATGGCAACGGCGCTCTCTCCCCGGACATATTCCACAAACATCGGGGTCGGTCATAGCCTGAGTGGAGCCAGAATAAACTTTATTTCCAGTGAAAATCACGAGATGGATACTTTTCTTTCAGCCTGCATGAATTCCCAAATGATACAAAGGCAGTTTAGTTAGCCGGAGCTAACAGAGTTATCAACTTAATCTGCGTAAACCTTCAGTAAACCTGTTACGATATGAAGAACAAAGCAGTCAGTAAATCTCACAGAAAGATATTTATATAGTTATTTTAACCAAAAGATAAACCGACAACACTTACCTAGAGAACATTTGAAAAAGTTGCTTTAAGGCCGTAAATAATAGTCATTTTTTATCTCAGCAGCCGTGTTGCCATGGCTGCCCGTGTTGAGCCACTGCTCGCATGATTCGTCACAAACGTTGCATTCAAATCAGTTACGGAAAATCCGCTACATTATGATTTGGATGCTCAATCCATGACTTAAAAACACCAACACGCTAATTAAATATTGTTAAAATCTAGTAACTATTAATTATTCGTTGAATCTGAATTGATTTATATGCTATTATTAAAAGATGACCAATGTCCAAATACTATTTACTTCATTTGAGTTGTTTCGCGAACGCATCATTGCTATCGGAAGTAGCTTACAAGCTAACCTGTTTCTGAAACCTCTGCTTAGATTTTTGTTTTCGTTATAATGTCTTTTAAAAGAGAAGGAGACGATAAGAGCCAACTCAATATTCTGAAGGTAAAAACTTATTTTATTTAATTTATCTTTTGGTAAGAACTTAAGATAATATGTAAACATTAACGTTAGCATCCCTTAAGCCACGGCTTAGTCGCTATCTTAAAATAACACTGTTGGTAAAGTTTAAAAACATTTTGGGACATTATTTTACAATGGAAGTGTTGTTTATCTTTTAATTCATACATTTTTTCATAATGTAAAATGTTTAGAGTCGAAAAGGTGCATCCTACAGGCTGCATTTGATTGTTGTAGTTTTTTTGTTTTGATTTTGTTTTAATAAATTCCTATACAGAAACGTCGTGTTGCAGACCTTCTGTCTAATTTTATCCCAGAAGATGAAGCGGCTCTTATGAAAAATGGGAGGTAAATTATTTGTGCCTTAAAACGCACAAGTAACTGAAAATCCAGTTTATTTGGTGACAACCCCAGTTTGTTTGTTTGTGTTTTAGATATGCTTGTCTTGTGTGCTCCTACCGCCCGGTGTTTGATACAGTTGACATGCTGACCGTCCACAGACAAGGAAAAAAACATCTAGAAGGTAAAGTTTCCGAAATTACAACCCGACCTCTTTGCCCTGATTCAGTGGTACCAAAAGTACACACATTTGTAACTTAAGTGGAAGTATAGATACTGCAGTTTAAAAACAATCTGGTAAAAATTGAAGTATCAACTTGACCTCTTTACTCAAGTAAAAGTGAAAAAGTATGTTGTCAGAAAATTTAGATCTCTTATTTCATATATTAATCTATCCTATTTACTCACTATAAAAGTTTTCACTCAGTCTCTTTCACCTGCAAGGCCACAAAATTCTCTGTGTGAGGGTGTTTGTAGACCATACATTGCTTCTTCCTATAACAAACAAGATTATTTCTCAAGGTTTAGTAATAACATGTTACTGTTAACCAAATTGTCTGTATTTTGTTTTGACTCTGACTACTTTCCATTGTCGTAAGTAAGGGGAACGAACTCTGCTCAGGCATAACGGGGCTGAATTCTGTGCCATAAGGGCCATATGATGAAGTGTTCTTTGCAAAGATATGACGAATAAAGTGCCGACTGAGTGAAATCCATTGATCTCTGTTTATTTAACTAGGGTGCCACTGCAATTTCAAATTTACTTAAAGTATAAATGTATAAAGTAAAAAAAAAACAGCCAGATGCCACTATATGAATTGAAAGCTAAATTTTTCGAAAAAACTTTCAGACATTTCAGCATCTTTTTCTGAATCCGACATTGTAGCATGGCATAAACAATTCATGTTTGCAGTTTGAAGAACACCTGCTTGCTTCTGATGATTTCCTTTAGCTAACCAATNTTTGTTTTGACTCTGACTACTTTCCATTGTCGTAAGTAAGGGGAACGAACTCTGCTCAGGCATAACGGGGCTGAATTCTGTGCCATAAGGGCCATATGATGAAGTGTTCTTTGCAAAGATATGACGAATAAAGTGCCGACTGAGTGAAATCCATTGATCTCTGTTTATTTAACTAGGGTGAATAGTTGGAATACTTTTTTTCCCACTGCAATTTCAAATTTACTTAAAGTATAAATGTATAAAGTAAAAAAAAAAAACAGCCAGATGCCACTATATGAATTGAAAGCTCAATTTTTCGAAAAAACTTTCAGACATTTCAGCATCTTTTTCTGAATCCGACATTGTAGCATGGCATAAACAATTTATGTTTGCAGTTTGAAGAACACCTGCTTGCTTCTGATGATTTCCTTTAGCTAACCAATGAGTTTTTGTGTTATATGACTCATCCAATTACACTAGTTTTTACTAGATGTGGATGGCGCCAATGATCTGCATTGGATGGCGCACATGACGTGAAATAAATATTTATAAACATTAAACCGAAGCCAAGAGTAACGAGTAACTTTTGTTTTAAAAATGTAAGGAATAGAAAGTACAGATACTTGTGTGAAAATGTAATGAGTAGAAGTCAGAAATAGGAAGAAAAATAAGTAACGGAGTAAAGTATACATACCTAAAAAGTGTACGTAAGTACAGCAAAGAAGCATTTGTTCTTCGTTACTTGACACCTCTGCCCTGTTTATGTTTCCCACAGTTGGTTGTTATGGATACTTAAAAACATCATTATGATAATAAAAAACTTTAAGTTAAACCCTGTTAGATGTTGATTCATGATAACTATTGAAATGTATTAACATTTAGGGACAATATTTAATTCTATAGAATGCTCTTAATGAAATTCAAGCAAAATGAAAATGTATATAACCAACAAAATGTCTGCAAAAGTATTTAGTCTTGATAAACCAAGTTTCTTATTTTAGATTGTGAAATATAAGGATGAATAAATGAACAGATAAAACTATGTTTTCATATTTTTTTTACAGGGTTAAGGGCATTCTATGGCAAAAAAGCAAAGCTGAAGAATGAAATATCGAAAAGACAACATGAAAGGTACATCCAGTCTGAAGAGGGACAACAGGTTGGTGACTTTATCATATTCACTCTGTTCTTTGTATTGCACGTAGCCATTAAAAAGATCAATTTAATTCGGACTCGGTCTTCATTTAACAGCTTAAACAAAACAAAAAACCTCTTTGGATTATATAGGAGAATCTTAGATGCTAGGATCTTGTGACCGGCCTTAGGTTTGGAAGGAATCCAGGTCCATGTAGGAACGCAACTGGAGAATTGTGCTCTAAAACTTGCATTTTTACTGCAGGATCACATGATGCAGCAGTGCTTGTGCAGAACATTTACTCTACCTGAAAGTATGAACTGTTACATTTCCTCTGTTAGCTCAAGTCTATATGATGATGAAAAAAAAAATGTTTATTAATGTCATATACTGCAGAATGGGCAGTTTTATTCCAGAGAACTAGTTTTTAATACAATTCCAGCTCGATGTGTGGGAACCCTGTAGGAAGGTGTCAGTCATTACCAGAGGGTAAATGAATCATCAATGAATAAAACATGAGCTAACAAGTTGTTTTCCCTTGAAAAACACTTTCAAATGATATTGTTGTCTTGTGTGAAATGTGTTACGTTGGCTCTCTTGGAGTGAAAAATTACACCCCACCAACCATTTTAACTTGGTTTGGTGCTGGTAAGTTTTATCCTGACCGACAGATTATTAACAGAAGTACTGTTTGAATGAATCCATTGGAGCATTTCAGAAAATTTGACAAAAAGGTGTCTTGTTGCGCTTTCAGGAACCCTCCAGTTCGGCCCCTTTGTTAGCACAAACACGGAAGCTCACCCAGCATGCTTTGCTAAAGACGGTACCGTATAACAGCTGTCACAGAAAAAACAGGTGTGTGGTTTTATAATGTGCAATCCCCATTCGTTTGTTTGTTCTCAAAACAATGAGCTACATATTTACTAAAGCTCTTTTTTATTTTTGTTTCCAAGTACAAAACCTGGTAGAAGACAGACAAGTACCGACTTAGATCCCATTGGAAACCCAAGCAGGAAAATGCCAACAGCATCCTGCAAATCTGAGGTTTCAGAAGCAATATCAGCAACCACCAGTGCTGTGTCTAATGAAGGTAATGTCTTCCACTGGAAATTGGTGTGCGGATTTTATTGTATTTCTAAAGTAGCTTTTTTTTTCTAACTTAAATCATTGATGAAGAATCAGCATTGTCGGTAAAAAAAGGAGACCAGGCTGCAGGGACAGTAGTTGCAGAACCTCTAACAGCCCAAAGGAGGATGGAGCTGAATCACTATCTCAAACTGAAAAGGTTTTTATCTTTTTATCGTTTGTTGTTAATGGATTTGAAGCAGAGCATCGTGGTTGATGGTTTATTTCATTCTTTTATTTTCAGTGATGGATGGGTGCAGGATCGCAATGGGCATTGGGTCAAAGACGAGAATGTGGAGTTTGATTCAGATGAAGAAGAACCTGCACCCTTACCTGCTGCCGACTGAAAGAACAAACTATCCAAAAAGTGTTATTGTACCACAGTGGTACGGTCGTGAACCAGAACTTCTGTCAGTAGGACTTTGTGAAACTGATTGAACATTTTGCTGGTCATCCACCAGAGTTTGCTGCCCACCTAGACTGATTTTCAGTGCCCCGTTCTCTCATCCACTACTGCAGATTAATTTTCAAGCAAACAGTTTCAGTTCAAAGGCTTTATTTTCATTTTAATTTGAAATGTTGACATGTTCCATTAATTGTTTCTGTTTTGGATAATTCTTGGATTTTCTGTAACACTGTGAAGATGCTGCTTTAACACAGCCCAAACGAAGCTGCAATATTTTTACATGAGACGTGTGCAAAGCTCTCCATCGCACCCTGGATGTCATTAGCCATGCTTCGTGCGCTGCAATCTCTTGGTGTTACATTAGGTCATAAGAAACAGTTACCGTACTAAACATTTGTGAAATTGTTTGCATGAAGTTAGTTCTAACTAACTTTGAATTTTATTATAAATCTTATTTAATAAATACATATTTTTTTTCTAATTTACGTATGGTTTTTAAGTTTGGTCCTTGTTAAGGCTGCAATGAATGATTATTTTGCAAATTGCTTAATCTTTCGATTATGCAATGGAACCAAATGACCCATTCATCGGTTACCATTTGCATGTTTCCAAGCGATACAAGGCTTTGTCTATATAAGACTCAAACTCTCTGCGGATCCAGACATTTGAATTGAGAAAGCTTCCTGGAGAGGTGGCGAAACATCTTCAAATCTTGGAAACCAAGTCCAGTGGATATTTTTTAAAATTTTTACGGAATTATTTTTTTGATTAATCGATAAATAATCAGATAGCCAGACTTTTTATGAACTTAAACCAGGTAAAACTCTAAACTTTTCCACTTTAGGAGTTCTGGATAGAGCATATTGACAGATTTTTTTTTTTATTTATCTTAAATGCACAATGTTCGAATATTTTTTTTACAATTTTTGTATAATTACTGCTCCAAGTGGGTTGCTCTTTCAGGTAAAGACACGTTATGGAGCAGGGGTCCCCAATGTGGTGCCTGTGGGCACCAAGAGGCCCTCAAGGATCATAAGGGTCTTCTGACACAAAACAACACACCAGTGGGCTAATTTTGAAAATTTCTTTTATATTTTTCTCTTCTTTTTTAATTATTTGCAGAGCATTTCATCATATTAATCACAGAGAGCATTCTAGCTTTTATAGAGATTTCAAAATGACAATATCTAACAGGAAATGATAGATTAAACAATGAAATATGTTTATGATGCATAAAGTTAAGCTGAACGCTGACGTGTCTAGTTCATAGATCAGTATTGTAGCCTTTCCTATGACTCAGTACTTATAAAGTAGCTCTAGGCCGTAGAAGGTCTGTGACCCGTTTTAGAGTCTCTTTAATCCAGTTAACGAATAATCAGTTACTAAATTAGTTGATAATTTCAATAATCGATTAATCCGATTAATTGTTTCAGCCCTAGTGCTTGTGACATTTAGCCAAGCCCATGCAGTTTTTTTTTATTTTTTTTATTAGCCAACAGTTATAAATTCACATCAACTCTGTTTCCCAAACTTCAGGTCGGGAAATAAATCCTTCAAACATTTTCTTGGTCTAGTTTCAGATATATATTACAGGCCGTGCATTATCTTATCCTTAATCCCGTGGCTACTCAATTATGTTAAATCCCTTTGTAACAAGCTGAAACTTGTTTGCTGTTACAACTAGTACTACTACTTGAATGGCATCCACCATGTAGAGATTGACCAGTACCGGTTTTTGAAGGCAGATGCCAATTATTTTGACAAAAATCTAACCGATCCCCAATATGTGCTGCTGATTTTTGAAGGTCAAGTCTTTAGGCTCCGATGATAACAAATGACTGATTGCACTAATGAAAATGACGAACACATGTATGACTCAGCGTATGCTGACTCAGGTGAAAGACACTAAATTGGGCTGACAACCATATCAGTCAATTTCTACAACCAGACACACCTAAACATGAAGTATAATTGACTGCTTATTGGCATATAAATTGGAATCTGCAAGAATTAAAGATGAAATTAAAATTATAAAGGGTTCAGGACTATAGTACAAGGCCTGTTTTTTTTTACAATTTTATTGCCTCATGATCATTGCCTACTGTTGTGTAACGCCTTGTTTCTAAACCATCCTACCTCAACAGGAAACGTGTTGAGATCCCTTAACTTTTGGTTTTTTTAAAAAAAACTCACTTCTGCAGTTGTATGCTCATAAAGATTGACATGTCACCCTGAAAATATAGCCTTTTAGCTGAGGGCCCAGCAATAAAAATATGCTTCGTTAAAATACTGGTCTACATCTTGTCTGGTGTTCCTTTTAAAAGATTGATCTAAGTCTAATTTGTGTACCTTGGAGCTTAGTTTCATTTTGTTGAGCAGTGTTCTTCCTTGCTTGATTAACAAGAAAACACATGAAACCATGAGCCTGAGTTGAATTGGTTTCAAATTTCTCAATCGAAGTTTGAACGCACAGGCTCTGTTTAAACATTTTGAATGAAACAGAAGCAGATTAAACTGATAGGAGTGTGTGACACAGGGACAGTCCTGCTCATTTCACTGCTGTCACTGGGAGGTGTCGGTTATTAACATAAAATTAACAAGTAACCAGTCTGTCCCTCTGAGATAAACGCTGCGGCACAGAAAAAAGGCAGTAGTCACAGAGATTCTGTGATCCTACTACACAAAGGTAGAGTAAGGTACTGCAAGTAATTCATTTCCTTTAGATCACATATACAGTAAATCACTTAGTAAATGTATTGCTTCGCTCATATATTCCTAGATATACAGTTTGCTTTTACAGATCTAAAGTGCACTGCAACAGGTTTATATGCAAGTAACCCAACACCTAAATCTTTAGGTGTTCCAGGGTTTGGATGAGCTGCTTCACCTGCCTGGATAGAAATTAACTGCAACAAAGACCTCTGTTTATGTTTGAGTAGCCCCTGTGTAACAGCACCATAGGACCGCCCTCAAATCTAATAAGAAAAGGGGAAAAAAATGTATGATTAAATTTGGGAATACTGTAAACCAACTCTAAAAGCTAGATCTTAAATGGCAAAGTCACTTGCATTGTGTGACATGCCTGGTTCTTCAACATAGCCTGAACTTTCTGAAGCAATTGTCTTTAAGATATAATTACTGTGTCTTTATGAACCATACTCCCTTCGTTTCAGTAATACTTAATTTCCTTTGCTTGTAGATGGGAACTTTTAGTGCATTGGAAGTTTCTCTGAGTGTTTCTGCTGTGCAGACTGTGTGTCAATGTCGCTTCCATTTAAATATGATTTTCTATGAGGCACATGTCAGATGCAGAGACATTGTGTCTTAATGAAAACTAAGCTGATCTAATATCTATTTTATACAAAGACTATAAAGAGAGAGGACATAAAAAACATAACAGACAGGTTGTGCACGAACACACAAATGAAATCATCAGAAGTTAGCAGCTGGTTCTGTTTGTAAATCTCTGGGTTCACTAAAGGGCTGCTCTCTTGAAGTTGATTCTTATATTTGGAACAAGGTAACTCAAGCTCTCTTGGCTAAGTTATGTTTTGCTTCAGGGTCAAGAAAGGGAGGTTATGGTGCGTAAAAATAGCTCTAAATGTAGGACCTAGTCATTGGATCAGGGAAGAGTTCAACGGATTAACATAAAGTGATTTTTTATGTAAGGCATTCATCCTAAATATTCAGCAATATTCTGAGGTGTTCATATAATTTAAGTTTAAAATATAACAAGTATGACCATAATAGTATCAGAACAAATACTGTTTGCCTCACATTTATTGAAGATTGTCCAATAAGTTTCACTTGCAAAAATTAAGATCGCCTAAAATGTATCTTTAATCAGTTACATGTGTGCAACAATAAGAGAAACAAATTAAACTTGCCAAAAATGTAGAAAAGAAATACTCCAATAGATATTTTTATTGAAAATATTTACAGTTTCCCTCGCCACATAAAATTTAGCACCACAAAAGTGAAAAAAAAAAAGTTTTCATGATCAAAAGATTGTCTGTGAAGATGTTGGTGATGAACAAACTGAATAAAAAAAGACGCTTCACATTTGATCACAGCATTTTATAATGAATTCAGCAGTAACTGAAACGAAATGGTTAAGCATGGATGTTAGACAAGGTTTCCACCGAACACAGTGACCCAGATTGATTTGGGATGATTCATTCCTCTCTGTCACACCCCTGATGGAGAACGCTGGCGCTTCGTTTTCTGCAGCAGTCCGTTTAGACTCCAGGGAGGGGGATGAATGTTTCTACTGTTTGCTTTATCTCAGTCTCTGCTGGCGAACTGTAAAAGAAAGAAATCTCAATCTCAATTGATGTAAATGGAGTTTTTATTAATTATTTCTGCAGCAGCAATTCTAATCAAAAGTTAACACAAATCAAAATAATTTTGAATTTTTGTTTCTTTTGTTGATTTGAATCATTTAAGTAAGTGTTTAAACAAACTATAATTTAATTATGCATTTTCAACAATCTGCATTAATAATAAAGACATTGCTAGATCGGGTACTGGTGAAAATAGGCCGGATCCACTGGGGCAGATTTATTCAATCTGCTTCTATGATACATTTTTCGATTAAAAGTCGCTTTAATAGCAGAAACCTTTACCCCTTTGTGGAAATCTGTCCTTAATAAATGTAATAAATAGATGCATTCATCTTTAGTAGGATTGATCATTGATCATGATCACCTCATCATGAAGTATCTTCACAGGTATTTCATAAAAATAATTGATCAGACAGCTGCAGTGGATCCAGAATGCTGCTGGCAATATTCTCACCAAATCTAAAACATCAAAACACAACCTCCTAGTTTCAAAGACCTGCTCATATAATAGCCTTTCAGTACTCCTGTTAGGCTATAAATCACTGAATGGCTAAGATACATTACAGACTTGTTCTCAGGGTATCATCCACCCAGACCTCTCAGGTTTTCTGGATCAAGTTTGTTCTGCATAACCAGAACCAAACATCGTGGAAGCTTTTACTTCTAATGTTCCAATAATCTGGAATAAGCTCCCAGAAAACAGTAAAAGCACTGAAACCCAGACTTTTTTTAAATCAGGATTAAAAGCATTTTCTTTATATTGGCATTTGAATGTGCCTAATCTTAAACATTATTAGTTTAAGTTTTCAATCAAACTTATTGTAACTTTTTTTGTTTGTTTAAATATCACAGCAATGCACTTTTGAATTATATGCTTCTGTAATATATTCTATAATGAAACTTGCCTGGCCTTATGCCAATCTGAAGCTGTCTTTGGGGATATACGTGTTAAGATTTAGACATATACCTGCTTGTAGAAAAAGGTTTACGGCAGTCTCTCAGAAAATCAACAGTGATGATGATAAAATGGATCCAAACAGAGCTCTGATAATTAAAAAGTATCAGGATCTGAGTCAGAATTGGATGCAAGTGAAAACATTTTGATCGGTGCATCCTTATTTGCATTGGCAAAATTATGAATATGTAAAATGTATATATATATAATAAGCAATGTACCCACAACCCTTCCCAACTTGTCACTTTGTGTTTTGCATGACAGCCAAACGCTTTTTATAGCCATGAACAAGCTTGTGGCATTACTCTAGCTGTGGATTTGATCTCTCCCATTAGCAGAGCTGTTAGAGTTTATTTTAATTGTTTGGGTTCCTCTATGGAGTCACTTTAATGTGTAGTCCAGACTTTTAGGTTTCAGGTCAGGAAAGTAGGCTAAAAGATTTATTAATTGAAATGTTGATGTTTTAAGAGTTACTGTGCTGTTAAGTTTTCATTTTCTGAGCTGTTAAATGAAAATTTATAAATTCTCAGATGCTAAAACCTAATATGAAATAGAATTCCTAGAAACATTGCTGGCTTTTAAGCACTGTGGTGGTAGCATCCATATATTTGCATTCATAAATCCAGTAAAACTATATTTATTCAAGCTGTTTGTTGTGTGATTAGTCCACCTTTAAGAAAGATGAATATGCATCAACAAAAACATAATCCACCCTATTATGAGATTATATACTGTAAGCTTCTAGCTGGAATTTACTCTTGCAAGAAAAGTTATTTAGAAGCTTTAGTATTTCTGCATTGATAAATTTTCGATAACTAAAAAAAAACCTTAACATTTATTCTGAACAGAGTGGGCAGTACTCACTCATGTCGTTGTTTCTTGTGATAGCCATGGCCGCTCTGGCACGGGGACCCTGCTGGTTGAAGTGATAGCCGAACTTGAGGATACTGGAGTTGTTTTCCAACATGGAGGCAATCTCCATCTCAACTGTGTCGCCCAGTTTCTGCCTCTGTAGGAAAGAACAGCAATTCTTCTTAAAAAACAGCAGTCTATTTGTTTGTTTTACAGATATTGATTAGTCCAAACCTAAGTAGGAACACATCTGTTGTTTACCTGGTTGTCAATCTTGAGCTCTACCAGTGTAGCATTACTAGCCATGGCTTTAATGATGGCCATCATGCCATCTGAAGTGATGAAATTGGATTCAATGTTAAGACTCTGCAAGCTGGTGTTTTCCTGTAGCATCTCAGCACATGCCTGGTGACAGTTGCACACAAAGCAAAAAGTTACGTTTTGTAGTTATCCTTTAAATAAAAAAGGCATTTAATTTGAATTAAAATCTGCCTTTGGAGAAAAAAAAAATGCATCTTAAATAAGAAAAACATCTCCATTATCTAATTTCAAGTGCGGTATATATATAATTACCCTATTTAAGGGGTCAAAATACTTGCTCTTTTAGCAGATCGTTTTACTTGCCTGCTAAAATGAAGGGAAAATGAACATATGTTAAGAATTTTCTTTACTTCATTTTAAACCAGCTTATCTGGCTGAATATTTAGATTTTCTTATTTGATATTTTGTTTTATTATCTAACTAAATGTATTGTAATTTAGAGAATGCATAAACTACAAAAGCACTCGGAGAGCGGAGCCATCTGCCAAGAAGCTAATTTCACCTGATATATTGTGACTTCCATCTTAAGGTAATACCTGTATTCACAGAATCATAAAAAAAAAATCCCTGGATCCAGATGCTGATCTGCACCCTTGCCAAAACTGATTCATTTGTTGCCAGTCACAATACACACCTTCTTTGAAAATTTCAGTAAAATCCATTTATTATTTTTTTAGTTATTTTGAAAACACACAAACCAATGCAGATGAAAATATAATCCAGTTCAGAGGTAAATATATGTATTAAAGTAGGAAATGTATCTGATTCAAAATAAATTTTAAGTATTAACGCCAGAATCTCAAATATGTCTATTTTTCTGCAATAGTTTTAGTTTAAAAACACTGATGTACTCACATAAGCCACAGGATCATTGCTACGGGTCGCAGCGATGCTCAGAACCTCCACATGGGAGTTCTCCTTCATTGCCTCAAAGACCTCCTTTAGAGTCGGGATGGGAATGTCCTGCAGGTCAAAAAGGTCTCCTTAGTAGTCGTGATATGAGTCAGGTTCAAAAAAACATTAACTTTTCTTTAATTTATATATTTCATAGACCAATATATAATGTGTATTAGCAAATGGTGAAAAGCGCATGAATGACAAACAAAAAATTCCAGAAGTAACTTAAAATTACTCTGAATTTAAGTTAGGTTTCTTTTGCAGGATTAAACACATATGTTGAATTTCCCTAAAATTAAAGTCACACATTTTTGTTTATCTATATTTTAATGCACCATTGAAAGTACCTTGATGTTGTTAAGGTTGACCTCCGTCAGGGAGCTGTCATTGCTGATGATTCTCTCCAGGGTTTCCTCCACATTGGTGGTGTTTGGAGGTTCTTCGGGGAAGCTCTTGAACGGATCTGGTTTCACAACACCTGAATGTGATAAGGAAACACAAGAAATGCAAAGATACATAAATCTAGTTTATTTAACACTACTGAATTAATCTTCAGGGATTAGATACACGTTGAAAAGAAGCTGCATTTCTTAAATGTATATCACTCACTGTTGATCCCCTCTGTGTTGGCGATTGTGCCTGTGGTGCCCAGAGCATCGTAGTACTGCTTGTTGCTCATCAGAGTGTACATTCCAAGGATGGCTGCAAGTACAGGGAGCTGTGTCACTGTCACTATTCAGATATAAATATCTTTACATTTGAATCAAATCACATGTCAGATCCTGCTTGTTGTCAGTATTTTATTTTTTGAGTCTGTGCTTCTACTGTGTCTCTACACTTCAAATATGCCTGAAAACAAGTTTTTATTCAATGGTTTGCTGGCAAACCAGATTATTGTTTTCTTCTTTGCATTTAAAAGAATCTAGAATCCATGTGCTTCATGATGAAATGTCTGTATCTCTGTCCTTCAGACAAAAGTACCCTTTTGTTTTGTCTGAGTTAGGACTATGTGGTTGGCACAGATATTAGCTCAAAGAGGTCCTGGGTTCTAACTCTGGCCCTGGAGTCATTATTCAGGGAGTCTGCATGTTCTCCCTCTCCATGTGTGGGTTCTCTCTGGGTATCCTTCCACGGTCAAAAAATATGAGTGTTAGGTTAATTGATTACACTAATTTTCTCTTAGTTAAGAGGCTGTGTGTTCCATGCAAAACTGATTTAAAAACACTCAGCAAAAACCTTCATTTGAGAAGTTATTATTTATAATATAAATTTTCCTATTACAATGATACAGCTAGATGGATATGCATCTAGATAAAGGAGCAGATGAAGACTCCTGAAAGGCTGCAATGCTGAAAAACTGTGGCTGTGTGATAAATGCAACAGTTGTTCCCATAAAAACAACAAATCACATTTGGGTTCAGAAATTCACCCACTTAAATACTGAAATGCAAAATATTTATAGGAACACATCACGCTGAGTATTTTCTTTAGTACAAGAAAATCTCAACAAAAAACTGGTAAACTGAAGTACCAGGATTTCCAAAAAAATAAAATAAAACAATAGTGTTTCAATTTGAAATTGTTCTGTTACTCTGCCACAAACAGGCTTAAACTGAAAGGGAACCAGACTTTTGCTCAGTTGTTTTGAAGACGTTTCCACACCTATCCAGGAGTCTTTGTCAATACTGTTGGCAATCAAATAGCCACCCCTTGTTCTTCTGGATTGTTGGAGCCTTTTGTTGTGCATTGGCTATGTGATCAGTCTTTTGAATCATAAAACAAGTGCTTATGTAATTTATTTGGGATGAGTTCCATGACTAAGTTGTAAATGCTTGGAAGCTGAAAACGCAATCCTCCCCCTCTGATCATTGATGGCTTTTCTCTCCTCACAAAGATGGCTTCCTTCACCCCTCTTTCAAACCATGTGTCTTCTCTGTCCAAAATCTGAACACTCTGGTGTTCCAAGGTGTGTCCTTGAACACCAGAGCTTCTGGCTCTCCTATGCTGTGCCACGCGTTTGTGTAATTGTTTGGTTTCTCCAACGTAATAGGCTGTGCAGTCCTCACTGCACTGAATCGCAAACACAACCCTGCTCAGCTTGGGTTTGTGTGTTGTGCTGAACCAGTTTTTGTCTGAGTTTGTTGTGGGGTTTGAAATTCACTGGTATGTTTTGTTTGGAGTTTCTCAGAAATTCCATGCACATATGGAATTACAATGTTTTTGCGTCTCTTTGTTTTCTCCTCTGTGTTGCATGCAGTGTTTTTTTCCTGCTAGTTGTTTTGGCCGACTTAACACGCCTAGTTTGGATAACCACATACTTAAAGTGATTTCCTAACATGTTTTTGTTCCTGTTGTTCCTCCTCTGTAACTGAAGGAATATTGTCAGGCTGATAACTCAGAGTTCTGATCACAGAAAGTTTATGTTCCAGCGGATGATGTGAGTCAAAATGCAGGTATTGGTCTTTTGTGTAGGTTTCAGGGGTACACCTCAGTATTAAGACTTCCATTGTCTTTAATGTGCACAGCACAGTCCAGAAACGGTAACATGTTGTTCTTCACATTGTCTCTAGTAAACTTGATGTTAGTATCCAATGAGATGATGTGATTGGTGAATGCATCAACTTCCTATGTTTGGATTTTTAACCAGGTGTCATCCACGTTCTGAACGAGTGAGTTGGTTGTGTTCTCTTGTGGTTGTGTTCCGTGAGAGCTCTGCTCTCCACCTCCCCTACTGTATATAGATACCTGCAACAATGAGCGAAACTGGGGAGCCCATGGTGCATCCATGTTTCTGTCTGTAAAAGTTATCACTGTATTTGAACTGTTTGTTGATAAACAGATGCAACAGGTTACAATTCTGGTTAAGTGTTTCTGTCTTTCAAGGTTTCCTGTTCCAGTTGTGTCTTAACTGTGTTACTGCTTGTGATTTGGGAGTGCAGGTGAAGAGAGGTTACATCAAACAAAACAATGGTTTCACATGGAGCAAGTCTCAAATGCAGGACTTTGGAAATAAAGTCTGTGGAAACAAAATTGTTGCAAGATGTTTTGCAATAGTATTTGTCACTGAATTAATCCTGCTGACAATGGGCCTGAGGGGGAACCCTTCCTTGTGTATATTTGGAAGACCATATATGAATGGTATTGCATCCCCTGGGTACAGTTTATAGTAGAGAGAGCGACAGATAGCTTTCTCTCTTTCCAGATTTTGGAGATAGTCTTTTCTTTTTGTAGATGTTTGTAGACGTTAGTCGTTACCTGACATCCATGACCCAGATGACTGAGAATTTACGCAGGAATCTGTTACCCTCGTTTATGAAAGACCTAAAAAATCTATTTATTTTTTTGCTCAGCTGATAAATTTATCACAATCAACTAAATACAGTTTTTCTGACAATATATATATATATATATATATATATATATATATATATATNTTTTTTTTTTTTTTTTACCACACCAATCTGATCTAGAAGCCAACTGCTGTGACAGCACCCACCTACCCACCCACCAGCCTCATGACCTGGTGTGGGGAACCATGGGAACCTTGATGGAAAGAGAACCCAGGGAGGGCAGCTGCTTGTTAAGGGGCAGGGATTTATTTGAGGGATGTAGGGGTGTTTCTAGCAATTAACACCCCCATGACATCCGGCTTGACCCTAACAATAATTCATGGTAGCTTTACAAAACACAATGGACTGCTGAACTCAAAAATAAAGTCAGATTATTAACAGTGTTTTTCTTAAAACAGGACAAAATTTAAAATTCAACTTCACAGAATAACTTGTCTGATGCTGTCTGAGCTCAGAAAGGTATTTCTGTTATATTTTTCATTTTCTACTGTAGCCCACACAAAGACTGACAGGAGCTAACTGAGATTTAATCCTGATCTGGATGCTGTCCAGGGTCAAACATGTGGTGGCTGTAACAGACCGATGGTGCTGGACAAACACACCTCCCTGTTCTGCCTTTATGGATGCCTGCTCGCCTGACCGGATGTCAGAAGACTGTTGCTGTGTATTCAGCCTGCTCTGCTACTATCAATAAAATGAACTTCTTTAAGGATTCAGTTACTGCATGGACAGAGTTAAACTCAATTGTTTCAAGCTTAATTCTGTGAATTTGTTGTTGTTTTTTTCTTTTCTATAAACTTTTATATAAACTGCCAGTGTTTGAGCAGCCCTTTTCTCTTCAGCTGGCTATAAAGCTCTGTTCTGAAAAATCCTCCTGTGCATTTAGTCAAAGCTGGTGCTAAACCAACTGGAGACACATTCTGAATCCTAAACTTTAGTTTAACCATTCTTACCCTCAGGAAACATTGAAAACTGTGTCTTTTTTACACAGTGTCTTCCCACATGTCTGCTTCAGACAGATACAGTATCATTTCTCACACCGTCCTGAGATCCTCCCCACCCTTTCTTCAGTGGCCTCAAGCCAGTCTTATTTATTTTAGAGTTGCTGAGCCTGGGGAATTGGAACCTGCTGCATTTCTGGCAGCGTCTGTTTGCTCGGGACAACTTTGCCATCTTAGTGTTGAGGGAAACAATTTGAAACCAACAGTAGAGACAACAGGCCTGCATGATTGAACTATGTGGGTCAGGGTGGCTGCAGTGAAAACAATGAGATCACGCCATGCATTGTATGCCATTATTACAGGTTGGTCTGCAGCTGCTGTTGGGAAACCCAATTGGGAAAAAACACATTAAGGCAAAGAAAAATGTAAACTTTTTTTTGTTTGTATATCTTTTAGAAGTGATTTTCTCTAGAAAAGCATATCGTTCTAAACTCTTTTTTATCTTAAGCACTTTGGTTGGACATATTTTTTTTTTATAATTACTATATTTTTATGACACTTTTATGGTATTTAACACATAATACTGCTATTCAGACTTTTTAGAATAAACATAACAATGGTCTTCTAACCTGCAATATCACACATCTCTGCATCTGTGGCATTTTTCAAAGCTTCTTCCAGCTCTGGCTCCAGCATCACCTGCTCATGCATGGGAATCTCCTTTGGCTTCTTAGGTACAAATGCCTTCCCTGAACACAAAAAAAAGGCAAAAATAGATGAGTATATGTATATATTTACACACACAAAAACACACACGTTTATGACATGTAGCAGTAAAAAACTATAGTAGTATAGAGTATAGAAAAACTATAGACTAGAATGTTTAATTTAACCATGTTATTTATGCACATGACGTTATTTCAAATGAGATTTTGCAGATGTTTTTATATGGTTTAAATAAAAAAATGCTGATGACAATTTTATTTGCAAAACTAAGAGTTTGGAAGCAGTTGTGAATCCAACACTGCATCATATGAGGGACATTTTAGACAGGAAAAAATATAGAATTCTTACATTTCAGTATCTGTTTGAATACATTATTTAAAACTAACATATAGTTCAGAGATGTCAGGTTTTTTGGGGGTCAAAACATGCTGGGCAGCAGCTGTATAATGAACTTAGCCTCACAGGTCAGTGAGCGGCAAATCCCACACAGACCTGAATCTAAGAGCCCTGAACTTTGGTGCACTGGTGCATTGCAGACTGCAATGCTGTGGATGTTTAAAAAAGATGAAAGAAGTCTTTGCTTTTGAGATTAAATCATGCTACAGGTAAAGTGCTCTTTAAGTAATTTTTTTTTTCTGAAGAGTTACAATTTAATATTTTTTGCATTTAATTTTACTACTTTTCATTTTGTTTCTGTAAATAATAGAAATAGATTTTTGCACTTATCAAAAAATAGCTTATATTTTCTGTATACCCTATCTTCTACTGTTTGCTCTTTGTATGCCTCTATTAATCTTTTTTGTAACACTGTTTATGTATGTCAATTTATTTCTACTATAAGGGACCAATAAAGCTTTTATCATCATCAACATTGCATAAAGAGCTAAGAGCAATTGACCTTTCTTTTGGCCAGTGAAGGGCACCAGGTCCTCCCTGTCAGGATGCTCCAGCGCCTGCTTCTCCAGGTGCTGCAGCAGGGCATCACGGTCAAATGGCCCTGTCGGACTCTTCTTCGTCTGGTCTCGCTGTCGCATTCCAGCAGGGAGCATAGCATTCTAGGAGATCCCAAGATCAGTTGATTAAAAATCAAGTTTTACAAGTTAACACAATTACTAAAAAGAAGCTGTGACATCAAAGGTTTGGGTATCTGTTCTTTGAAGCAGTCGAATGTTTGTTTGAGAATACTGGTGAACAAATAAGTCCATGATGGCCAAAGTACACACCAAGTTATATAAAGCAGTGTAACACTTTAGAGCATGAATAATTTTTAACACAATATACCAAACTTCAAACATCTCAAACTTCAAACGACTCTTAGGTTTAGCATCCTAAAAGAAAGAAAAAAATCAATCCAAACCACCAAGATACTGTTTGTCCATCTACCTGACCTGACAATCAAGCAGAGATAGCAAAATTGGAGCAGCCAAGATGTCCAAGGTAACTGTGGATGAGCTGCTCAGGCTGTAAACTCTGACAACAATCGCTCTGCAAATTTGACTTTTTTTAATAAGAGCATCAAAAACAAGGGATTTTAGAGAAAAAAGTAATGAAAAGCCTTGTATGCAGTTTGCCAAATGCCATATAGGAGGCAATGCAGTAATGTAAATATTGAAGGAAGACAATTGATAAGCCCAAAAACACCATTCCCAACATAGAGCATGGCAATAGCAGCTTTATTCTGTGGGGGTTCTTTATTTTAGCTGGTAAGATTATGAAATTTGTCAAAATGTGGAACAGTTCAAGGGTAACGAATATAATGTAATATAAAAATGACAATATAATATAATAATTACAATATAATATAATAATTTTTGTAATAATCATTTTGCATTGATTATGAAAAATCTGTCCTAATTTAGAGTTAGACCATCAGTCCCCTGTGGCTCCAAGGTGAGCGATCGATAACTGACCACATGCAGGTTTACTCCATACCTCAGGGTCCATCTCCTGCAGTTCATACTCCAGCTGCTCCAGCTCTTCAGGGCTGAGGCCTTTGAGGATGGCATCCTCATCGATGTTCCTTGGGTCCGACATGGCTCACATACACTCACTCATACACACCGCTGCAACCCCCTGGATTTAAGGCCACTGCGTGGAAAGAAAGGAAAACTTGTTAAAAATATTTCCCTAATGGCTTTCATATATTCGTAAGAATGTTAAATTCTTTGAAATGATAAACACTCAAAAACAGACTCAGGGATACATGTTGCTGTTCATGTTAAGCACTCAGCTCTCCCAAACTTATACCTGATAAAACTGTAAATCAGAAGCAAGGAAAACAGACTTTTTACTGAGCTAACCAGCTGCTTAACTAGTATTATAAAAAAGTGATGCTGGTAATAACAGATGCATTTCAGGTAATCAAACAACAAAGACGAGAGCAGCTTTAAACTAAAACATATAAAACAGATGAACTAAACACTGATGCACTGGTACTGAAACATATGACACAAAGACAGCAGGGTCCTTGTAACATTAAACCCTTCGCTCACCACATAGCAACTAAGAATAGCAGAATGTAGAGAGGAGTGAAAAGAGCAATCCCTTATTTATCATTGACAAACACCCGCTCATACAGAAGCAGGCCCACCCAAAACATATCTGCAGACACTAATGCAGGACCTCTGTCACACAAATAAGGAGCAGATGGTTCATCGTTCAAAGGAAGAGTTTTAAGTGAATGAGAGAAAGTATGCCATGTTCGGGTTTAAAGGGCCAATGTTTTCATCTTTGATCCAAATCTTCCTCAACTGTGAAAGAGAAGTAAAATCATCTTTGGCCAAAAAAATACCATCAGAAAAGTTTGAATACCAAATAAAGAGAAATTCAGAAAGAGCTGATCTGAAGAATTAACCCTTCAATTTACTGGTTCCTTCATCTTCTGACTTTCACATAGAGGATATGTGGTTCATGATAGAAACTATGACATCCATGATGCATGTCAGGGTTGAATATCACACCCATCATGGCGATTTGATTCAGTATCAATTTCCTGACCCAACATTTTGATTATTTTCGATACTCAAGAAAACACCACGATACCATTCAATTGTTTTTTTTGTGTGTGTTTGTTTTTTTACCTTACAGGCTAGACAATGTTTCAAATTTTTTAAATACATCAATGAAAGCTGTAATATCGTAATGCATTTTATTTTAGAAACGACAGCAAATAACAGAAGTAGCAAAGTTGTTCCAGGAGCAAATGGACAAAAAGATGAAACCATGAATCGATACGGTTTCGGACGTGTCGATGCATCGGACCGCAGCCTGTTGGATCGACGCATGTATACAAAATGACCATTATTTACAGGTCTAATGCATGTGGAGCTGAAATGAAGCTTCTCTGTTGTATGAGCCTCAGCCAAAGATAAAATATATATATATATATATATATGAACTAAGTGTAATAATTTTGAGTTGAACTTTAAAAGAAAATTTTGCCACGTAGGAAAAAAAGTTAATTTATATTGTGCTTGTTTAGTTCGAATTAAAGGATCATAGACAGCAAAGGATCAGAGAAGCATAGCAACGGGTCTGGGAGCTTAGAGAACGAAGGGAAAGAAGCTGCTCTCTTCAAAAACAGCACAGAGTTGGTTTATCCTAAAACATGCTCTAATACCTGTTGAAACGGTGCCAGTCTTTAATTGAGGACACATTCACAAGGCTGTGCTTTAACAACCTTCATCTCTAACTGGGAAAAGTCATAAACCAAACAACAAAACTAACCTGTCTAAAAACAACCCGACCATTGCGTGCGCATCATTAAAGTATTTAGTGCTAATAAATTCTCTCTGAGCTCATATTACATTGTCTTAGTGTCATGTTTGTGCTGTTTTTAGTTTTATTTTCATTCAAAAACAAATTACTAATGTTTTAGACAAGAAACATTTAGGGCCAAAAAAAAAAGATACACAAAAACCTCAGAATCTATTAATAAATTCAAATAACGGTTAAGCAAGAACAAACTGGTGATTAAAACTGGTTGTTATTTGATAAAACTGGTTGTTATTTTGACCTCACTGCTCTGCTGGCTTCCCATCACTGCTGCTCTAATGTGTAAAGCCATCAACACAAACTCAGGATCCCAAGGTTAGGTGTTGAGGGAGATGGAGGTGATTCAAAGGACAAGGAAGAAATACTTTTTGCAGTCACTTTTTTAAATAATGGAGCTTTTAAACCTCTCTCTGTTGAACCATTAACTAAGACAGGAAAACCCTTTCTATAACAGTTTATGTAATTTCTGTGTGTTGACCTTTGACATGCAAGGGATGGAACAAAATAAAACCAGAGAATAATGAAATATAGATAAAATGTCATAAGGGGGAGATAATAAGAAACAATGCTTTACTGTGTCAATGACTAAATACATCATCCACAGCAGAGCATTACAGTGGAAGAATGCTCACCTATTCTTCATGGAGGGTCTAACTGCATGAAGATGCATGAAGCAATTTCATTAGAGGAAACTTTTCTTAAAATTTAATTATTGTTGTTCCTTGTGTTACTGCACCAGTCCGCTTCACTGGAAACAGTCAGTGCAATAATGAATACTGACTTTTCCCCAGAAGCTCCAGTAGAGTTTCCACATGAAATAAACAGGCTATGATCCAAGTTGTTTCTGCTTCTGTTTATTTTCCAGTTAAAACTCTTCTGCATCTATAAGCTCCTGCTTTGAGGTTGATTTGACTGAGACTGACAGTGGTAGTAAAGTCTTATCAGTTACAAATACATTATATAAGGTTTAGGTACTGAAGAGGTAAGAGAAACGCAGGCATTTCTGACAGTTTCTGATTTTAATAAGAAAAAGGAAAAAAACTCAGACTCCTTTAAGACCTTTTAAAATATAAGAAATAACATACGTATTTGTCTTTATAAGAAGTGGAGAAAAGTCCTTGATATATAAGATGAATCTGAGACGTAATAAAAGAAGAATAATCAATTTAAGACACGTCTATAGGTTAATTTTCTACTGCACTTACAAACCAACTGGAAACAATTTGTGCATCTATTGGTTTGATTGGATTCATTCTTCTCTAGATATCCTAAAACATGTGCTTACTTAACCTACATCATTGCATGTATATGGTTGAACTAGAACATTTACTTTCAATGACCGTTCTCATAGACTGTATCTGATTTCCAGATCTATATTAGACAGGCTCTAAAATGCAAACATATCAACTTTATAGCTGACTGATTTCTACAAGAAAGGTAAAGTAAGTAAAAATTGTTTCCCAGCTTTTATGTTCCTATTAAATGTTTAAGATTTTCTCAAATATTTTTACAGAAAATAAATAATACAAAGACAATTTTGATGCACTTTTGAAAGCAAAAATGAATTGAAATGGGAAAAAAATTGTGTGTATTAAACACAGTAGCAGCTCCTCCTTAGCAATAGTTAACTATAATATTGTAAAGTTACATCTCTCATTTCATCCAGCTTGTTCTTTCATTTGAACCAATTACGTCTGTCTGTTGATCGCTGTCATTACTGAGGTTCAACCCTCACTAAAATGGTTGATGTTTCAAAGCACACCTTTACCCACCGCATCTGATTTACCTGTTTGTAGTTTGTTTTTATCAATTAATTTAATCTATAAATGTACTGAAAATGCCTGTTTTTGAACTTAATGGTTTGGATTTTCCTTTAAGAAATGAAGCAATGACAAATAAATGTTTTCTGCAAAAAATAAGATCAAATGTTTGAGGTTAAATTTCACACAGTGGGAGGATATATACACCTCAGTCAACATCTCAGTCATTTGAAATAATAAAATGTTTTTTACCTAACTCTGCTTTGATCATCTTTCATCTTTCTTTTTTTTTTATGCAATTGTAGCCAAATAAGAGTTTTTAAGAGCATGGCTGGGGGCTCATTGAGCAGCAGACCTCTGTGAAGATCTCTCACCATTAGGGGGTCATCTTCTCCACGCCTTACCACCCGAGTGTAACATTCCAAATCAGCCCTCAGATTAATTTTAGCTTCACAAGTCAGCTCCTTTCAGTCGTGTCAATCCTCCCCAGCTTGGGTTGCTACTTGAGACTGTGTCAGAGTACCATTTGGAGCCCCTTGAGAGCAGCTTTTAAAGGTTTTATTTGAGGAAAATAACCCAAAAGACAATCTGATCCAAGGGGAGAAACACAGATGTCAGCCGATAATGGAGCTTTACTGGATTTAACAAACTTTAGCTGTTCTCTCTCCAACCTACAGCTTCCAGAGACTCCAAAACATCTGTGACAAATCAGTCAAATAGGGATGGGAAGCTATCAGAAAGTCTACCTTGCAAGAGCTGAACAATTTTTTTTTTTTTTTAGCTTAAATTTAAACCACATTTAGCAGCAGGAACACTAAATAAAACTGAACAGTAAATATATTAAAACGACTCACATACTTGTCCAGTTCTGGCTATAAGGACCCAAATCTTCTCAAAGTTGTCCAAACACAAATAGGAATCAATTAATTAATGGATCCCCGTGTAGCAAAGAACAAACAGCAGAGATAGGAGAAAAAATCCTCCCACTTACCTTCACAGAAGCACAGGGCTGAAGCCCCTCAGCAGGACAGAAGCTGAAGTTAAAGCAGGTTCCCTCTCTTTAGTTTTCCTCCCCCCTCCCTCTCCTGTTTCTCCTCTCATGGGTCAGGCTTCAGGGTTGCTATGCCTAGACGAGCTCACCAACAGCACTTTGAGAAGTCAGCATTTTATTATTTTGGCTGTGTGACAGAGGAGGGGGTGGCAGGGAGTCATGTAGAAGAGGGAGACAGGGAGAAGTGGAGCATGATCATCAGGCTTTCAATTATTGAAAGGAGTCAAGCAGATGAAGAAAGCCTGACATCTGCTGGATTGAGTAAGGATGCACACTAGAAAAAAAATGCAACCACAACAGCCTCCAAAATAACTGAGCTCTCTGGTACAAATGTGCACAAAAAGCTTAAACTTGGTGACCCCAGATACCAGTTTCTGACAGTTAGTGTTGGAGATCTTATTAATATGCCTCCTGTACCTGCCTCCTCACTGCTAGGATAACCCTGAAGCCTCGGTTGGAAGGACAGAGTTGAATACAGCTCATTTTGTGAGACAAACGTATTATATTTTTACATTAAACATAAAGAAGCTAGCAATTTTATTTCAATGCTTCTTAAAAATAAAGGCTTTTTGTTTTGTAACTGATTATGTTTATCCATCTGAGATAAAATACAGTAGGACTAACCATCAACAATGATGACACAGGGAGGAGTGTTAGGCTAGTGGTTAGAGCAGTGCACTTGTGCTCTGAGAAGGTTGCAAGTACCCGATTCGATCCCCACAGCCTGCACTCTAGGTTCCTGAGCAAGACCCTTAACCCCTAATTGCTTTCTGGGCGCCACAAAATGGCAGCGGGTTGCTCCCCAAGGGGATGGGTTAAATGCAAAAGTAAATTTTTCCAATGTGAGATCAATAACATTCAATTACTGCATGAAAAGATGTTTAATAATCTTTGATAAATCCAGTTTATATGACTGAGTGGCCGATATAACTCTGTGTCTGGTTGTTTCTGACAATTTATGGCTTTTAGATGATAGTGTTTAGCTATGGGCTCAGCTTTTACTGTGACTAACTTGGCATTTGGAAAGTTTATACACCCTCCCATTGAAAAAATGGTAAATTCACAATAGTAATTCAGATAAAACAAAACTGAAAAAGGAATTATAGATTAAAAAAAATATATAATTTCAGTGAAATTAGGTATTATTTTTGAATCCGTTTTTAAAAAAAAGTAATTCTAAAAAGAAAAAGAACCTTGCTCATGAATAGTAAACCGACATACCTTTCAACAGGAGCAGAAGTCTGACTGAACATTTCCTGAACATCACAGAAAACACCTGATTTCAGTGATTGCCTCAAATAGTTACTCAACAAAATTTTCTGTTTAGGATCTCTATCGGACTGTTTACTTGTTTTTTTTTATTTTTATTAATACATCCATTCATCCATTTCCCCCCGCTTAGTCCTTGTCAGGGTCACTGTGGGGCAGGTTCCCATCTCCTATCGTCTATGGGCGAGAGTGGAGCTACACCCTGTACAGGTCGCTTGTCTGTTGCACAGGTAATACAGACAAATGTATTTATAGATATAAATTCAAAATAAAAGTCATAATTTCCATTTATCATTATTTCCATTTATTATTACTTTTGTCAATTTCCATTTATATTACTGCCAATGGATTTTTTGTATGTGCTCTCTTTCATCCCTAACAAGAAAAATGGGTCAGAGTTCATCTACTTAAGGGTTTCTCTCCTAGACAGAGCCACCTGTGGAGCTAGTTAACTGTTACCTTTTCTACTATAAAAACATATTTATAAATCAGTTGTTCTATGTTCCTCTTATATTTCTGCTTCTGTCTCCTTTAACCCCAGCCTGGATTTGATAGAAGGCCGCTCACACTGAGCCTGGTTCTGCTGAAGGCTCCTTCCTGTTAAAAGGGAGTTTCTCCTCTCCACTGTGTCTCCACTGCATGCTTGCTCGGTGTGAAGGGTTTCCTTAGAGTCAACGCCGCAACCCAAGCTCATATTTGCTGTTGCCAGATGCTCATCCAGGAGGAGCAAATGCTACAAAGTCAATGGCTGAATGCTGTCTGCTTTGACAGAAAACCTTTAGCAAAGCTGTTTGTGTGACTCCAAAAAAAGGAAATTGGCAAAGCATAAACATAGATTGTTAGATACCTGTTCCTTTTTACTGTCAAGCATTATTCCACTTTGACTGGAAATTAAATAAATAATAAATAAATAATTTGCAAGACATAAAATATGTTTTTTATTGCAATTTCAAGTTTTTCTAAGTGTTGAAAGCAGCTGTGTTTTTTTCAGATGAAGTAGATATTTATATTGAATGAATGTGCTTAACATGTAGGTGTTAATAGTGTAAAGATGATACAGTAGACTACCTAATAGGCAGAGGTGTCAAGTAACAAAGTACAAATACTTTCTTACTGTACATAATTACAGTTTTTAGGTATCTATACTTTACTCC